ACAATCAGCAATTAACAATACAAAATATTTGTATCCAAGTTGAGAAGTGACGGATATAGTCTAGACATCAGTATTTATAAGCTCAAAGGGAGAGGTAGCATGCTTAGATATGTGAGGAAAAGGTAAAGTACCACTCTTACTTAAACAACAAGAAACACAAGATGTATCAAAAGTCTTCACGGAAGGAACTCTAGTCTAATAAGGCATGAATCAAACAAAAATTTTAATTTCTCAGCATGTATATGACAAACGTTTATGCCATAAGTCCCAAACATTATTTTTGTGACTCTTAAAGGAACTAGAAGTGGAGGAATTGAAATAAGATGGTAATGTTGTTTGAAACTTCTCGAATTCCAATGCAAAAAGCGGCCCAACCTGTGCCCCTTCCCTTTCACCTTCCCAGCGTTTCGGTCCTGAATCAAACATCCATCATGAGAAAAGGTGAGAATATTACCTTCATCAACTAACTGGCCAATAGAAATCAGATTTGTAGTGAAATCAGGAACAAGAAAGGTCTTGGTAAGAGGGAAAGATGCAATGAGTGAAAGCCCCTTCCCTTTCACCATTGGCAGTAAGAATATGTTTGTGATGGGTTTCAGTAAGGTTACTTGGTTGGTTAGGGTAGGCTCCTGTCATATGGTTGGTAGCTCCAAAGTCAATGATCTAAACATGAGAAGGGGAAAAAATAACCAAAGAACTCACCAGATAAGCCAATAGCAGAAAAGGTAAAAAAATAGCAGATGTTACCAGTTGTAAAATGTTATCCTCAACCGTAGATTCTAGAGAATCTCCTTTAACAAAAGAATCACCGCTAATAGAAGATTTCTTACTCCCATGTGCTACAACAATAGTGCCAATCCCATAGGTTGATCCATCTAGTTTCACAAGAATAATATCAAGTCTATCAGAGGCCATTTCAACAAGGAAACAATAGTCCAGACACAAGAATATTAGAGAAAACCAAATTCAGCAACAGTCCACTCTAATCCAGGGTAAAAGAGAAGTATTCCAATACTAGAGGAGGTCAAGGGATCCCAAAAAAAAATACAACAAACAACTCCAACAATCAAGAACTCAAAGTTGACAGTCAAAAAAGGCAAGGTTTAGGACTTTCGAATAAAAAATCTCTAGAATATCAATCTGAAATCTGAAACAATTAAATGGGAAGCAAGAAAACCCTAGGATGACACTAGATCTAGGGTTATAGGTTGATTGAATCAGCCGATTGAGAAAAAAACTGTGATTTACCAGCATATCAGGCGTCTTTTCCAAGAACAAAGAGGTACCTTGTGCTGATCGAAATAGCCCTCAGAAATCTCCAAACCAGAAACTGAGTGTAGGGTTAAAAAGAGCTTGTGAAAACCCTTCAATTTGGAGAGAAAATCCTAAATCGTAGGCTGATGTAGAAGGCCTGAAGTCCAAAGCTGTTGCAGTCCAAAAAAGGAAAGTGTACAGTATTGCCACCCCAAGAAGAAGATCAGAATTCCTTCAAAAACTTAACCAAATCAGATGTTGTTTGTAGGGCGAATATATCAGGTCTAGCTGACACCAGATCTGAAGTTAGGGTTGATCAAGACAGCCCTAATCCTTTTCAAAGAACAGAGGGCCATAAATCCTAATAGGACGACAGGATTACTGCTTCTAGTGAGGATCAAGAGAGGAGAAAATAGATCAAAAAGCAACCTGCTCTGATACCATGTCAACACTCTTGGCCGAATAGAGAAAAGAACAAGAATAATCATAGAGGTGTCCAAAAGAGTCGACCCTCACCTCAAAGAGTCTCTTATATATTAAAAGATATGCACAATTTTTTTTATCAATAACTCACAAATTTCATTAAAGATAGAGAGAAAATAGACAAGTACAAGAGAAGGGAGATAAACTCTCTTATCTCACCTAACCAAAACAACAAGACAAGAGAAAAATTACAAGATAGCCTAGAACGAAGAGTCCCTAGTTGCCCCTTGTTTAGCTAGCCCATCAGCAAAGGAGTTAGAACTTCTTTTAACCCCACTCATCTTCACCTCAATATTCTTGGTTGACCAATTAAATTTCCTCTTTTCATTGTTGTAGTTCCAAAAATTAGCAGTATCATTTCTCAGCCAATCCACTTCCAGTTTAGAATCACGTTCTTTTGCCAATTTGGTGATGTTCAGTTCAATTGCCCTTTGAGTTCCTTCGATAACAGCTGAAATCTCAGCTCTAAGAGAATCATCCATTCCAATTAGCCCCAAAAGGGGAGCAATTATCACTCCCTCCTCATTTCTTAAGACACCCCCAATACCTGATGGACCAGGATTACCCATGCTACTTCCATTGAAATCAAGTTTGATAAAACCACTAGGTGGAGGAGTCCAAGAGGGTAGGGATGTGTCTTTTACTGGAGCTGACCTGTTAAATGTCTTTAAATAAATTCAAGGACTTCAGCCAATGTACCACTCTGATTTGAACAAACTCCAGAATTTCTGGCAGACTTCTTTCCCTATCTGAGAAAATTCTCCCATTTCTTTCTTCCCCAATAGTCCAATAAGCAGCAGCTGTAAAACATATCCACATGACTCTTCCTCTTTTTTTTGACCAGTTAAACATAGAGGAGCAAAAAGTCTCTGTACATCTAGTGGAGGAGACCATCTTCATCCAAACAAAGATAAACACCACTCCCAAATGTGATTAGTAACAGAGCAGGAAATCAGTAAATGGCAACCAGTCTCACCTTCAGCCTTGCAAAGAACACACCACTGGGGAGATAAACAACTCAAAGGCCTCTTTCTCTGAAGAAGATTCCAAGTGTTGACTCTTTCCATGATTGCTTCCCAACAGAAACTCCCAACCTTCTGAGGAATCGGTTTGCACCAGACATTCTCTACCAGAAAAGGCTGCCCTAACTGACCCGATGGATGAACTAGAGCTTTGAAGTAAGAAGCACAAGAAAAAGTTCCAAAGGTTGATTAAGTCCAAACCCTTCTATCTGATTTAGAGTGATCTAAGAAAATTCCTTCTAGAATATTAAGAAGAGACAATGTACTATTCAGTTGACTCCCCAACTGCTCTTCTAAAACCCAAGTTCCACCCAAACCCTGTGGAAGTTTGTGAGGGCACCAAGAAACTTGATATAGGCTTATTTTTTTATATTAGACAAGGTAAACAGAGAAGGAACTGATCCTTAAAGGGAGAATCCCCGATCCGGACTTCTTCCCAAAATTGATTGAGGTTACTAGAGTGCAAATCATACCTTGTCCACGGAATGAAGAGAGGCAAAGAAGCTTGGATAGCTTTCCATGGAGAAGCTCTTGTAGTCCTAGCCGAAATTCCAGCATCCCATCCATTACTTGTGAGCCCATGAATACTCTCCATGATAGATGTGACCAAGCCTCTAAAGATGTATTGTGATAATCAAGCTACAACCAACATTGATAACAACTCGGTCCAACATGATAGAATAAACCATATTGAGATTGATAGACACTTAGTGTGAGAAAGAATTGGTTTTAGGGACTTCTGTATTCCTTATATGCCATCTACAATACAACTAGCTGATATTTTTACCAAGGGACTCACCAAGGAAAGATTTATGGAGCTGTTATGCAAGCTGGGCCTAAAAGATATCTATGCTCAGCTTAAGGGGGAGTGTTGTGAGACCTAGCATTGTGGGCTTGGGCCTTTATTTATTTATGTTATGTGGTCCTATTTTTTGTTTCTTTCTTAGGCTTTTAATGGGCCTGGGCCTCTATGTACTAATATGTTTCTTTATGCCTACTAATCGGGCAGATTTGTCATTGTACTCCTCTTAAAACCCTACTATAAATAATAAGATGAGGGGCTGTTGAGATTGTTTGGACATCCTGTGGAGGCCATTCTTGATCTGATCTACTTAAGTTTCCATGGCCAAAGCTCAAGTGCTTGGCATTGCTCTGATGCCAAACTGTTAGGATACTGCCGAGCTCAGAAACAAATTTGAGGTGTCTAGCCTCCTTAAAGAGAGAAGGGGGAGAAAGATGAGGAGAAGAAGGGGAAATTTTGCTTAGAGGATTCAACAATACGTGTGGGAAAGAATTGTTTCCGATGTAGTGATGTGGCAGCCCCTTCCACCTCTTTCTGCAGTAAACTCTGATGTACCTTGGGTCAGCTGGATCTGCTATCAAATCTATGAGTCTAACAAGTTCCTAGAGGCCAATCAGAGGTTTCTTACTGGACCTCTAAGATATATTAATCCAACTGCCAATAGGCTAGCTGGGGAGGATTGTTTCAAGACCTGTTTGTTCTGCATATTCACAACATCTCTATACTTTGACAACTTCACACTTGAGGCATCTTTCCCTTAACAAGAGGATTTTGGAAAAGGAGCATATGAGGGCTTGAATGTTTCACGGTTTCACTTGCTTGGGAACCTAAATTTTCTTTTTCTCCAGCTAAAAGCTTTAGTTCCCACTTTGTCTGCTTGTGTTATTTGAGTACAATAAGTTTGTAAGAACATCCCCATTAAATTTGAAAGCCCGACTTTTTCGAGTTTCTCTTTTTGGGTTGGTATTGCACCTTTTCAATTATGCTCTAGGTGATGGTGCATGGTAGCCTATTCATTCTACTTTTTCAAGTCTCTTTGTCATGCAAATTGCCATGGTTTCTTCCTGTATCATATAAATGTTATTTTCATCCTGTCATACATTATTGGAACCCACTAAGAAAAGTGGCATGTAGGTACAGGTACGTTCAGGACCCATTTATGGATCCATTGGTTTTAGCTGCTATCATATAGCCCATTTATTCTTCTGATTTAAATCTTTTCTGACCTAGTTTACCTAGTAAATTTTCTATGGCTGTGAACCGTTTCCTATGCATGTTGTAGAAAACTTGTTGATGATTGTTTGTTGAATTAATTGATTTGGTTTATCATTTTATTTTCCACTGTTATTGTAAATTGATACAGTTGTTTTTCTTCTTTTTTCTATTTTTAGTGTTGGTTAACGAATAAAATCTAAGAGTTTCATCCACATATATTTCAGGAGAAAGCTCTAGCATTAGCAGAGAACAAACCGCCACCCACTTTATATGGCAGTGGAGACATCCGCCCTCTAAACATGGAGGATTTCAAACGTGCGCATGAACAGGTACCTTATTTCAGGCATCTTTTAGATGTTGCTACTAGAAAATATCAATGGTTTGCTTTTTTTTTTCTTTCAGGATTTCACCATAACCTCTTAATTTTGCAAATAGTACTGTTTAGATTATTGAAATTGATTAAAGATCTAAAGCTAGTATAACTTTTGATGAAAAACAGAATATATCAAATAATTAAGAACGCCAGGTGGGAAACACTGTCCCTAATCCTTGTAGAACACGGTTCACACTTTGACCCTGAATGAATGGTTTGGGCCTGAATTTTAACTGCATTGAACCAGACTATGTTCTTGGGCCTATTCGAAGTTTTTTAAAAGCTTTAGCCCAGGCATGACCCATGTGCAAGATACAAAGAAGAGAGAAAGATACAAAGCTTTATAGAAGCATCCCAGGTTTATAAAACGTGACCAAGATACAAAAGAAATAATCATAAAAATAGCAAAAATTAATGTAACACAACAAGCCATGAAGTGCCTGCTCAAACAGTACAATTTCTATGTATTGTGCCTCCTCCCTGGCCTTTCAAGCTTATTGGACTAAATAGGCGCACTATAGGGAATAAGGGATTTTAATTAGAGATCAGCAGTTAGATTTCTTTTTAGGTGCGGATAATCAAAGATGGAACAGCTTCTGGACAAAGAGCTCATCGAATGAAGGGGAATACCTTTTGTGCCTAGCTTGAACTTTTAGTTTTTCTCAACCCAAAGAGAGAGTCCAGCCTTTATTCAAGTCGCTAAAGAAAAAAGAAGAGAGAAAAACTTTACTTTTTTGTGCAACCCAAATTTGTATAATGATTTGTTGGGATAAGTTCTTGTTGAGTTGACTTGTGTCTACTAATTACTTGTGCTCTAGTAAAGATCCAGGTTTTAAATTGACTTACCATCAATACACATTTTTTGTACCAGTATTTAATCTTGTTCATGACCCACCTGATGCATTTTCTTCCAAACTTGATTTATTCCTGCCGGTTTAATCAATTTCTAATTTATATGCTATATAGCAGTCAGGTCTGCACATTACACAACACGTATGAATCAGTAAAATTAGAAGCTTCTGGGATGGAAGGAAACCCATTTTTGGGTGGGTTGGGTTGGGATGGGGGAGATTCTGATGTGGTGTACAGCAGTTGTATCTCTTCTTCCAATGCAAATGATAACCTCAGTTTCCGTTTCGAGGATGCTTTTCAACACCCACTATGCTTTTCTGAGCATTCCATGGTCCTTGTGTAGATATTTTATTGTTTGTACACTTGAAGGCTTATAAATGGCTTATATTATAATGTCATTTCTGCAGGTATGCGCAAGTGTTTCATCAGAGTCTGCAAATATGAATGAGCTTCTCCAATGGAATGAGCTTTATGGAGAAGGCGGATCAAGAAAGAAAAGATCACTGAGTTATTTCATGTAGAGGAGGTATCACCGTATCACATCTGTACAGACCATTTTTTTGCTGATTTTTTTCTTTCCCTTCTGCAGCGAACAAAATTAGGGACTGATATTGATGGAGTAGTCCATCATAGGTTCCCATGTATCATATATAGTGATTGCCTGATGGGTACTGTATCTGCCAATACTATATAATTAATTATATTAGCTTATAGTGATATACTTGTCAAGCTGTTGATCCAAATGAAGCTATTCTGCTACACTGGTGGCATATTGTCCTGTACAAATTCAATTCTAGTAATGGGAATAAGTGTATCATGATTACTTCTCCGGCCTTGAGTTGATTGTTGCAAGCAGATATATTGATGAATGATGAAACAATTTGTTGCCTTTTCTACTGTAGCTGTACTGTACACTGAAAGATGCAAGACTGCGATTAAACCGGAGGACCAAGGCTTCAAATAAAATATTAAAATGAAAGTAGAGAATAAATCAAGGTTGTAAGATGAAACAATTTTTTCACTATCCTTTTGGATCATAAACCAGATGACTCAGCTTTAAATAAATCGTGTACTATTGATCAGTCGTTCAAATTGCAATATGACGTTGCACGGTACTGAGTACTGACCTATTTAAAAAACATGGAGAAAAACAAAAAATGGATTTGCTGAACACCATTGCTGTGTAACCAATAGTAACGCCCAACAACCAAGCACTCTCATTTCGCACTCTCAACCTCTCACACTCAGCCAATTCAGATTCGACAGAATGCATGATTTGGTTCCATAATTTTGCCAAACTAGTCCGTGTCAAGTTAAGAGAAAGGGCATGTCCAGGAAAGGAAATGAAAATGAAGACGGTTCAAATGTTACAGTTACACCTCGTTGGATAGAATATGGAAGTTGCTTCAATGTCTTCTTGCTGCAGTTGTGACAGAATTGGGATCTACATCCCATTGTGTATTGGGAACATCTCTCATGAACATACTGTGAGGTTGGTGTGAGGAGCAGATCCAGTCTTGTTGTAACAAGACTGGCCTTTGTCATGTATCACCCATGGCCACGTACTAATAAGGCACCAGTCACTCGGGCTAAAAACATCCCAGTCCCAGCACAGCACTTGGGGTTGGGGTTTTGACTTAACGAGGCCATTCCTTCGTTTCAAACCTGAGAGCTGCTGCGTTAGGGTGAGTGCTGAATGCCAACTGCTAAAGGTGGATTGGCCAAAGGTGATGAAGAATCTCGTGTAGAATTGAATTACCCAAACGTTCAAGGGACGCTTTTCTTACAACCCTTTTCAAACGGAAAATTGTACGTCGGAGGCGGCGTTTGGATTACTCGAGCAGCTCATATCCAGACCCCAATGTTCGAAGACATGATCCTCCGGTTCTCACTGCTTACTGGATTAAGGGTTTTATAGTTGATTGCAGCTAAGGTAAATTAAGAGTAGAGATTTCCCATTCGGTAAAAAGGCAAGCTTGAAATTTGAAGATCTAGCTTATGTGAAGAACGTCAACTGGATGATTAGGTGTCCACAAATAATTAAAAATTGCTCATTTCTTTCTTATTGTATCTTTTTACAACATCAGTTTACATGGAAAAAAATAATGTCCAATCATAACAGGTAAATAGACGATTAAAAATAGAATACAAGAAAGATGCCCGGTACCTAGGTGAAACATTTTGTCTTCAGCGAAAAAGCATCTAGTTAGATTGAATTTGTGAACAGTTGTAGCTAGATATGCGATCTGGCTTCTCAGTCGCATTATGAAATTCGTTGTCCCGGTACCAGAATAAAAAGACCAATTGGATGGTATTATGCATGAGAGTTGCATAGCCGAAGTTCACCTTTCAAAACATGACAAGTTACCTCAATCTCAGACAAGTTGCACAACTGCAGCCACCCGTAAAGCACCACCTTGAAGAAGATCAGCAAGCTCATCAAATAACAAAGCTGTGCGCCAACCCCAGCCCTTGGGAGCCTTTGGCAACAGAGTCCCTGTCTGCTTGAAGCTTCCAAACACCATTACTTCTCTCTTCGATGGACATATTAACTACATAAATAAATGTAAGAAACCATTACATCAAAATAATGTAACACCATCCTTTTTTGTATACAAATAACATGAAAAAGAAATGGTAATATAATGAATCTACGAGTAGAACCTGGTAACGAGCTGTAACCTTTTCACGAGAATCTACATACATATGAACCTGCAACTCAAATATGTAGAATTAATAATTCACAAGGACTAATTATCAAAAATAATGACCAACCGAAGTGTCAGTTTTCAATGTGGTCCAGAGATCGTAATGATTGATTAAATACTGAACAATCCTAAAAAAAAACAAAGGCTGAAAGGTGTAACACATTGCTTGCTGATCAGGACTCACCTTTCTTACAGAATCTATTAGCTCAGCCTTGCGCCGATGGAGAAATAATCCTGATATGGTAGAGAAAAAATAAGCACATGTCTGTCTGTTAACATATCCATATTTTCCTCATGAAATGGATAAAGCATTCTCTATCATGATAATAGCCTTTCAACCAGTTATCTTACCAAGAGTGCGCCGCCCCTGTGGATCTTCATCATTAAAAGCCTGAACACTGACCTATATCACCCATCATACAGAGTTTATGAAGTTCTATAGTAAGAACTCACAAATGAGAATGCTTGGAAATGCCACATCCAAGGTTTTCCCTCTTTTAAGGGGAATCCACTGAGTTAAAGATTCAATACCTTCCAAAGAGAGCCAGCATAGAATACTTCTGGTGAGTGCTTGACTTGACCATCAGTGAGCCTGTGCACATCCTCAAATTCCACCCTAACACAATAGTGGGGAAGCATCAGTACATAAAAGTAGGGAGGAATAAAGGGATTAAATGATAACAAATTTTCACCAACTACAGTAAGTTTAATAAAGGGGAAAGAAACAAACGCTTGAATGGTAGGTAGCAGAATGCATATGTTCTGCAGTAGGACAGGGAAGTGGAAATGGGAAATAGCTAGTTGACAGGAAATTATATTTACAGCATTGTGGAAATGAGAAGGCCCATCATTTAATTATAAGATCAAGCCATCACCAAAACCCCTCCCATTTCTACAAATCAATGGGACATAATCCGGAAACTAATTCAACTATTATTGAAATTCATCCAAAAGAAGTTGGATGGGGTATAATTTTTCTCTGGTGGCAAAAAAGGTGCTCCATCAACCCGCAATTTCGACACCTTGCATTGGATCCACCATCCACTGACAGGCAAAGGCAATCAAGCATCAGCCATAGGAGTTCCATGTTACATATCCTTAAAACATGTAACTATTTGCAAGGTGCAATTCAAGGTCAATCTTTTTTATAAGTACCTAGAACAAATGTCACAAGGAAATTCACTAAAACCTGTTAATAACCTTACCCAAAACGGAAAGGAGGAAAGTGACGCAAAGGTGTTTTCATATCCAATGATATAGAAGAGGCATCTGCATTTTCCCACTCTAAGCCAAGGGTATGATCCTGTGGTTCAAGCATATGTACAGGAATGCCACTAGAACTTGGCCCTGCAACTGAAGCTCCAACTAATCTGCTTTGCAACTCAGGTTCATATCCTCTCTCACCTTGATCTCCATGAACAGGAATGACATTGCTCCCCCCTTGGCTGAGCCCAACCAATGCTGTCAACCCATCTCCAGAGAGGTCTCCATTAACATCTGCCCTAGCCTCCGATTCATCATTAGCAAGAGGCTGCTGGCAATTTCGGTTTCCCAGTCCAAAGGGGACCCGGGAGAAGACAAAACGTGTGGGAGGCCAGGCAGCTGTGGATACAAATGTTGTCCCACGCCCAATACCAGCAAGACCATCTATAGGCCCTCTAACATGCACTCGCACAGGCCTAAAAAGCCCACTTCCTTCACCTTGAGCTGCATCAGCAACATACACATTTCCCATGTTGCCTAGTTGATTGCTCCGATCATGCTCTTGCATGTAATAACCACTTGTAGTAGCTCCATGTGAAAACCCAAATGGTTGTCTACATGCACATGCCATGCTTGTAAGGCAGCAATTTTTGCACGTATCAGCTCCAATTTCTTGCACCCTGTGGCTTAAAAGCATCTAAATGAAAACAAGAAAAACATCAACGTTTGATTAGCACATGTAGACTTGATTAAAGGTAAAATCAAATCATGAAACAGATGTGGGATGCAAAGAGGATCTTTCTCGCCATCCTGACAAGCACAGTAGCACACAAGCTAGGGTTTTTTTTTTTTGAAGATAGCACACAAGCTAGGGGTATGGGGTCAGGTGACAATGTGATGGGTCTTAAAATGAAGATCTGTTAGGCTACAAAAACTACAGTTGTATATGGATCATAATACCATGTTTATTTTTATACTGATCAAGGCAAAACAAAGGATGTAATAAATCAGATGGATAGAATTATCTGATTGAATTAGGACAACTCTTGGGTCCCAAGACTATTTGTTCCTTCATGCAAAGCCAAGGTAGGAAGGATGGCTTCATCTCATCCTTTTTTATCAATAATTGCATCTCATCCTTTTACATAAGCATTCCTCATACATAACAGACATGTTCCATGCAAGATTAGGTCTTACAGAAATGGGTACCGCACTCTGACCTGTAGCCAAAGACCATCATTCACGGCTTTGCAAGGGAATCCCAACTCTTCAAGCTGTTTTCTCACATTTAGTAGTGCCTCAAAGGACATGTTACAGTACAGAAGGGAACCACCTTCAAAGAGGCTGATAAATACATCATGATCTTCCCCTTGGATCTCACAGTTCCCTTTGCCATTATTTTTCACCTGTCTCCTACACACAGTCCTGCCACCCCATGAGGGAGGTAGCATCCCACATCTTCCCCACTCATTAGCCATAAGTCCGTTGCAGGAAGAGATTGCTGAAGTACAGTGCCTTGTTTGGTCTCGGGGAAGCCAAACATTATTATTTAAATGGTAGCATGTGCCTTCTTCAGATGGTCCTTCCATAGCTGCTCCAGTTCCCCCCAATCTGCTTGCCTCAATATCATTTGGTATTTCAACATAAGCACAGGACTTTCTAATTTCATTTGGATCTGAAAATGAGCTCCCCAAAGAGGAAGACTGTTCCATCCTGCAGGAATATCTTGATTCTAGATTTGATTGAGTGCCTGAAGATTGTCTAACAACTTGTTGTCTGGAATCAGGAATCCCAGCATGGAAATCTACCACACAGTCAGCAAGCTCAACCAGAATATTATGAGCAGTTTTCAGGCCTTCATGATCATCCCTTAAACTTAAGTGTCCTAGCTCTGATTCCATTAGCTGCTTACCGGTGCTGCTATCAATTAAACTCTTGCCTTTTACTCCCGATGAATCAAAATTGGCACATCTTCCCATCTCAGAGCTTGAGCTTCCATGGTCAGAGTGTTCAGCTTTCAAAAGCGCATCTTTTGCAAGTAGTGTGTACAATGCCAATTCAAACCTTTAAATAAAAAGACAGAGTATGATCTAGTTTTGAAGTCATTTAAAATTATAATCCATAAAAGCCAACTTGGGGCAGATATCAAGTCGCTCACCGTGCCTCTTCACTGGGTACCCATAGTTCATCAGAGGTCAGTAGTGCATGCAAAGTTTGAGAAGAAAGTTTTGGCAGCACCTATTCATATGTTAACCATGGATAAATTCAGTATAATTGACTCAGAGCCCCATAGAAATATGGAAGAGTATGAAAAAATCACAGTTGGAAGACTCGACTACAAAATTTTACTTGATAACTGTCTTCGGAATAAAATCACAGTTTATTTTACAGAACAAAAAAAAAATTATATTTGAAAAAAGATGAACACTGAAGTTCTTGATGGAATTTTAAGTAAAATACAAGCAATTACATAGTCTAAAAATGACCTCAATATGACAAAAGAGTTTTGCAGTTTATTTTACTGATCAAGAAAAAACCATATTTGAAAAAGACAAGACTGAAGATAAAATCAAGATTTAATCAACACAAGTTGAATCAAGTACTAGACCTAGTTATTGTCAAACTTTGGAAAGACAAGGTGCAACCATCAAGGCCCAGCACCCTTGTTCCTTACCTCCTTCAACTCCACAGCACCACTTTGACAAAGGTAACCCCAACAAGCACTTCTAACCCGTTCTCCATGTATACCATAATCTTGGCTCTCTGCAAATACCTTTATCATAAATAGAAGCAGTCAAAACCTAAAAGATAGGAATATGTATGTTTTACAAATAGTGGATCACAAAGACAAAGTAGATGGACCTAACCTGATATGCCAAGAAATTTGAAGTCCAAAGCTCAGATATGATGAAGTCTGTGCAGATAGCACATAAATCCTGCATGGAAAGATCTTCAAGATACAAATGAAGAAAACTTCAAGCAATAACACATGCACCAGTGCATGCAGAGACAGCTGGAGGTGCACAGAAGAGATGTACAAAACAGAAAGTTTCTTCAAGAACCCAAAAGGTCTATGCTTCTGACTTTCTGAGGTGTATTAGAGAGGGATCTAGTTGCCATTACTCTATTAAATGGATTACCTGAAGATCAAGAAAGGATGCAGCAGCAAGAACACGGAATGCATTATTGTCATTAAGCTTTGGATGGTGTCCATAGAGATATGCCAAGGCCATTGCAATGGCCTCTCCATTAACATTGTCATCATCAACATGCAAGGTTACAACTGGTGCATTAGCTTCTTTCCACGGACCATGAAGCATATTCCTGCCAGTCACATTATATGGCAGCAAAAGAATGAGAACTCATAGAAGCAGAAGTTCACTAAATCAGACTATCAGTAGAAACTTGCACGGGCAAACACATCCCGAGTGCTTGTCTGAAAAATTGGAAACAAAAATTATCAAAGAGATACCAGTTTATCCACGTAAATATATGCATACATTGATATTTCAGCTAAAAATATACATAGGTTTTTAAGTAAGAACATGTTCATAGCAGAATATGAAAATGGAGCAAACCCCATACCTAAAATCCACTTGGATCTCTTCACCTCCTCTATGCCCTAAAGAAAACAGAAGGCAGGGACCATAGTGAAGAAGTAGGGTGATAGAACCCCGATTCAGCCATCTCAGGTTTTGGGGGTTCAGCCGGGCAGTCTACTAAAAATATCCCGTGTGGCACCCCCTATCAAATTTGTCTACTCCAGGAGGACACATCAGCATAACTAATCCCCCCCCCATGTGCGGGTAAATCGGGTTGTTATGCATGAGGTGCAGTAGTATAAATATCACTGAAGTTCTGAGGAAGGACAGAAAAATTACCAGAGTTTTTTTCTTCTTTATCTTCTTTCTTAGGAGGAAGAGCTCCCTTGAAGAAGCTCAGTTTTGCTGTGCAGCTTATCAACTGGTATCAGAGCTCGACCTGGGATGTCCACTACCAGGTCCAGCGCCGTTGATGATTGAGCCGGTCTCCTGGAAGAGCATCTTCACCGGATCGATGGAGATGTGAAGGTGATGAAGAAAATCATAACCACCTTCATTTCACAATTCAAGAGGACCGCTTCCAGGGCTAACAGGGAAGGCGAGCAAGAAGGGTCCAATGGAGACAATCATCAACCACATGGAAGTCCTTCAGGAAGAGCGATCAAGATCAACTTCCCCGTTTTTTCAGGTGATGATCCTGTACCTTGGATTAATAGAGCTGAGCAATACTTTGCATTCCATGAAATCCCTGCCTCCCAGAGGCTGCAAATCATGGCTATCCACTTGGACGGTAGGCAAACCTTTGGTATCATTGGTACCAGAGGTGTCACCCGCAACTCATCTGGCTTGACTACACCAAAGCCCTTAATATCCGATTTGGACCTTCTGGGTACGAAGACTTTGATGAATCTCTAGCCAAGATCCGGCAGTCTGTAACGGCTAAAGTCTTAGAGAATATCAAAACCAATTTGAGAAGATGGCATCTAGAGTTCAGAATTGGACAGAGAATGCCTCAGTTGGAAGTTTTGTAGGGGGCCTCAAGGACGAAATCAAGCATGAAGTGAAGGTCATGCGACCTCTGACTGTTATAGCAGCGGTGGGTCTGGCCAGACTCTTCGAAGAGAAGATCGAGAGAAGTAAGAAGCCTTTCAGGACTCTCGGCCCGACCCTAAAGGCCCCCCTTGACCACCCTTGAGACAGCAACTCGGTTCAGTTATTACGACTTCCCCAGTTCAGGCTGAACCCAGGTCAACCAAAATAATGGGCCAAAACCCTTGCCCAATAAGAAAACTATCATGGGCCGAAATGCAAGCCCAGCGGGATAAAAGCTTATGTTACAACTGTGAAGAAAAGTTAGCACCGGGGCACCAATGCTAGGCCCCACAACTTTTCCTATTGCAACCAGAGGAAGATGAGCAGGAATCCAAGGGTGAGGAGGAGGTCCCCCTATCACCCACGGAGGAAACCAACTTAGAAATCCATGAGATATCCCTGCATGCTCTTATAGGGTCTGTAGCTCCTCAGACTATGAGGGTAATGGGCTCTATTTCGGGCTGGAGTGTGGTGGTTCTAATTGATGGGGAGAGTTCACTGAACTTTATTACCACCCAATTAACGAAGCAACTAGGTGTTTTGGAATGGTAGAATACTGATTTGTTTCATTCTATTTTTTTTTTTTTATCAATAACACTTTCATTAATTCATCAAAGAAGATTTACAAAAGGAAGACAAACACGCTTATCTTCCAAGAGCAACAAAGAATCTCAAGAAAAGGAAAAAAGAAAGAGAAAAGAAA